GGCACCTAGTATCATAATTCCCTGAGACAGTGAGTACATGGAGTGGGCCCTGGACTTAGAAAATCCTGGCTTCGGTTCTACAGGCCAAAGATTGAAACTAGACCCATATCTTACCATGCACTAACCTAAAATTGAAATGGATAATATTTAAATATTAAAATAGAAACACTAAATCTGCTGGAAGAGAGAATAGATTGAATGCTTGAGGACATAGGAGACAAAGACTTCATGAACAAAACCCAGACTGCGCGAGAAGTACTGCAAAGAATCAACAGCTGGGACCTCATCTTATTAAAAAGCTTTTGCACAGCCAGAGAAACCACCAACAGAGTGAAGAGACAACTCTCAGTGTGGGGGGAAATTTTTACCAGCTATTCATCAGACAAAGGACTGCTACCTAGAACATATAAAGAAGTCAGAAAAATTAAACCACCCCCCAAATTTAAAGACCCAATCCAAAAATGGACATCTGAAATGAACAGACATTTCTCAGATGAAGTGAAAACAGCAAATATATGAAAAAAACATTCAACATCACTGGTCACTTGAGAATGTAAATTAAAACAATGCTGAGATTCCATCTCACCCCAGAAAGAATGGCTGTTATCAAGAAATCAATAACATGCTGGAGGGGCTGTGGGGTAAAAGGAACCCTTCTCCACTGTTGGTGGGAGTGTAGACTGGTGCAGCCACTGTGGAGATCAGTGTGGAGATTTCTCAAAAAACTAAAACTAGAGGTTTCATTTGACCCAGCTTCTCCCTTTCTTGGTGTCTTCCCAAAAGAATTAAAAGCATCATGCCACAGTGGTATATGCACACCCATGTTTATAGTGGCACAGTTTGTAATAGCTGAATCTTGGAAATGGCCCAAATGCAGATCAACCAACCAATGGATAAAGATGTGTTTTTTTAATACAATGTAGTACTACTCTGCCATAAAGCATACCTAAATGGTTGGACCTTGAGATTATACTCAAGTGAAATAAATTGCACACATGTGTATGAATACCGCATTGTTTCTCTGGTGTGAGAAATCAAAAGTGAAAATAAGGACTAAAATATATAACAGATAATGGGAAATGGGAAGGGGAACAAGGGAGGAAGGAAGGGACAAAAAAATAGAAGGAAAAATGGAAATAGCATTTGTACATAGGGAAGGGAGGGGGCTTAGGGGAATGAAGAAAAAGGAAAAATTTGTTTTCATGCAATCAAATTATTGTAGACAGCTAAGTTATAAATATAGGCAGTTAGACAGGGCTGGGCTACATAGCGACACTGTCTCAAAATTGGAAAAAAAAATCTTTACTCCACTCATTGGCTAAGTGGCTCTGTGACTCAGTTTCCTCATCTGTAAAATAAGGATAATAGTTGTATGAGTCAGCAGAGTTCCACCAGCTCATAAGAGCCACTCGAGGTGTTTTGAGAAGAGTGGTTTGAGACCAGGGCTAGGTGCTTATGGGACGCTGGCACGGCTGGCACGGCTGGCAGGGCGGCCGAGTCTCAGAGGGTCTGGCCTGTCTGAGTGGACCAGAAGGGGGAATGCGCCTGAGGCTGTCACTGGCACTGCCGAGTCCCAGGCTCTGCCAGCAGAGCTGTGACCCAGGAAGCAGGTGGAGCCTCGCTGTTGCTGTCTGCTGTCCCCTGCCTCCTCGGGGTTGGGGGAGGGAGGACTGGACACCTGACCCTGCAGGAAAAGCGCACACCTGCAGTCCTGCTTGCCAGAAGGAGTGAGCCAGAGGAGGAGGAAGGCGGCCCCGCCCTCTCCCACCTTCCCAATCTCCTGTGAGGGTTTAAACGTTGGATCCCATCTGCACTGTCACTCCGGAAGGAGTTGGCCTGGAAAATGCTGCTTTTAGCTTTCTGCCTCAGGACAGGGATCCTAGGGCTTCTCAGCCAGGAAGGGTGGCTGTGTTATGCCTGGAGGGCACCAGGACAGTTCCCATTAGGGAACAGCACATGCTGGATACACTGAGCTGCAGTGAGCATTCCTGCTGTTATCGCTCCAGGCCTGTGCCGGGACCCAGGAGGTACAGGTGGGAACAAGATCTGTTCAGCCCTCCTGCAGGTTCCCTGCCCCTGACACAAAGAAAGCCTTCCTTCTGAAGGGGCAGAAAGGAGGGACACCTTCCCTCAGCCATCATAAAGGTGGATGGGGCTGACACTCCTACAAGAAAAACAAGTTAACAAGTAAAGACCATGAAAAATTCACTTGATCAAACTTACATGATCTTGGGAGCCTTCAGAAATGAAGACCCAGGGGAAACTTTATGCTTAGATTTGATGAAGAATGGACAGCCGTGAAGAAATGTTTGTGTTTGGACAAAAAGTTAGGATCTGATATAACAGACTAAGGGGGAAACAGCAGAGGAACAGCAAGGTCTGCCTCTTCAGGTTCTTTGACCTTCGTGTGTAGCTTTCCTTCCTCCCGGGATGCCTCTCTTGAATGAAGTTTTTCAGAGAGAGGGAGAGGAAAGAGTGACCTTTCAAGATACCATGCTTTGCTTTGGAGGAGAGAGGTTCTGGTTTCAGTGACCCACCTTGGAGAGGAGGGATTCTGAGTTCTATGCAAAAGCTTCAGAGGAGGAGGAGAAAGCAAGAAAAAGAGCAGAAGTCAGAAACAGAACTTCGGAGACCCTTCCTGTGTCTTTCAGATTAAAGTACTCGGCCAGGGCTGGTGGTGCTCAAGAGGTTGAAGCAGGAAGATTGCAAGTTCAAGGCCAGTCTGGGCTACACAGTGAGTTCATGGCTGGCCTGGGTTACATAGGGAGTTTCCCAAAAAAGCATGTCAAGGTGCTGCTTTGGGGTATTTTGTTCTGAGCCCTAATCTCTCATCAACCCCAAGGTCTGCATGTAATTCAATTCCTCCATAATTGTGAAGCATCTACAGTGTACCAGAAACCAAGGCAGCTTCTCCAGTCCTACCTATGGGAAAGTTTTTTGCTGGAAGATTATAGAAGCTCTAGAGCTGGGAAGGAGAGGAGAACAAAACTGCTGGCAATTTCTCTGCACCTGCCCTCTCCTTTGAGTAGGAAGGGTCTGCAGGCCCCCATCACGCACAACTGAAAAACTCTCTGGATACCCTCAACACACAAACACACCATGTAATCAAACCACAGTACAAACTACCCCAGATAGACAGCCCTGAGCCTACAGATGCAGTAGCCAGAGGGACCTAACGGTGACCTGCAAGAAAGCTGGAGAGGCCAGGGATTTAGCTCAGTGGTTTCACCACCTGCTGCTCAAGCGTAAGGACCAGAGTTCGATCCTTGGTACCAAAAAAAAAGAAAGCTGGAGAAAGGGTCCAGTTCATGGGCACAAGATCCCTTCTTACCCTACCTCCTTAAAAGGCCTCCTGATCTTCATTCGGCTGCCCATCCCAAGCCCAGATGTGGGCCACAGCTGCCTTGCAGCCTCTCTGACAGGATCCCAGTCCCCCGCCCCCTCTGCATCACACATGTGCACATGCTAAACAATACGTTTGTTGAGTTTTGCTTTCCTGATCTTTATAGGAATGGCTGGCCTTATGTAGTGAGAGGGGCCTCCTCCCAAAGCTGCCCAAACCTAATGCCAGAGCTATGAACATCACCATTACTTCCAACTGGCCTCCCTTCTTCCTGTTAACTCTGAATATTTCCTCACTTAAAATTCAACATTCTGTGGACATCAAAGATTATTTATCAGTTATGTAACAAGTTGCTCCTCCATCTATCTTCTAGCTGCTGTGGGCCAGGAATCCAGGAACAGCTTAGCGGGGTGGCTGCAGCTCAGAGTCTCAGGAAGTCACTGCAGGATGCTGTTGCGGAACTGTCTGATGGCAAGGGTCTCGCAGAGCTGTCCAGGGGCAGGAGGCCTACATTTCTTGCCACTGGGGCCTCCCCATAAAGCTGAAAGGGACGTGCCAAGTGGCAGGTCCAAAACAGCTCTGCCAAGAAAGAGTAAGAGAAGCATAAGGACCCGAGTTTGATCCCCGGTCCCCAAAAAAAAAGAAAGAAAGAAAGAAAAAGAGAAACCAAAATGGAAACCGTGGTGTCTTTTAAATCCAACCTTTCTGGCTGTGTTGGTGCACACCTGTAATCCCAGCACTCTGGAAGGCTGAGGCAGGAAGATCACAGGTTTGAGCCCAGCCTGGGGAACTTAGCAAGACCGTCTCAAAATTTTAAAAAAATTAAAAAGAGCTGGAGATGTAGCTCAGTGTGAAGGCCCTGGGTTCAAACCCCAGTATGAACAAAAAGCAAAGAAAGAATGAATCTTGGTGATACACCATTGCTATAGCCTATCAGTTGGCCAGGCCAAGCCTGGTAGAATGTGAGTGGGAATATGAATTCCAGGAGGCAAGGATCACTGGGGTCCTCCTTAGAGGAAGCTATCACAAACCATTTTTTAAATGTGAGTTATAAAACAAAATATGATGAACCCACAATCCATCACTCATACAGGAATGAGAACATCACTTAATAACTTGTATCTTCCTATCGATTCCTCTGCCTCCCCATTTAAGAGGTAATCACCATCTTACATTTTGTGTTTATCACTCCCATGCTTTTTAAAGTTTTGCCACATAGGTACATAAGTCTAAATAAAAAGTTTATTTCATTTTGCCTTCTTGATCTTTTTTGGTACCAGGTATCAAACTCAGGACCTTGTGCTTGCAATGCAGGCCGTGGAACCACTGAGATAAATCCCTGGCCCACTTTCTTGATCTTTATAGGGCTGATTGGCTCTGCTATAGTCGGAGCTGCCCCCTCCTCAGCGATCTGAGCTAGATTCCTCAGGTCTCTCCCTTGAGTGTCTATAAAACTCTTCCCTCTTATTCTGCCACTCTGGAAGGGGCATCTGCCTCCTGCCACTTTTATTTCTGGGTGACTTTGAAGTGTTTTTTATTCATCTACTTCTGTCCATGGATGTCCAATGATGCGTGTACATTTAGTGCACGCCTCCTGGGATGCATATACAAGATTCTCTGTGTTTCCAGAAGCACAACATTATGGTTTATATCTAGACATCTCCCTCCCCTCGCAGCATCATGTGCTCATAGGTAGAGCTTTTAAAAGGTGGGTGAATCATGGGGGCGCTATAGCTAACTGTGATGTTAGGAGATAGGTCTGATGGGACGAGGGGGTCACTGGGGTGTGACCTGGTAGGGTGTGTCTCCCTCCCTGGCTTGTTCCTTGCACTGTCTGCTTTCTGGCTGCCATGGCATGAGCAGATTTCCTCCATGCCCAGCCCTTCAGCCATGCTGCCGACTGTGCAAGGACTGAAACTTCTAAAATGTGAACCAAAACAAACTTCTCCTGCTTTAAGTTGTAGGTGTCGGGTATTTTGTTTCTGTGCTGAGAAAGTGACTAAGACACAAAGGATGCTGGATCGCAGAGTATGTAAACAGCCATTTTCTGAGATAATGGCAAATTGTTCCAGTCTTTTAGAGTGGTGGTACTGATTTACACTCTCACATGCAACTCATACAAAATCCTGTTGATCCACATCCCCTGTCTGAGGCATGTGGTGGTGGTGGTTGTGGGGAGGAGGAAGTGGACCCAGGGGCCTGGGAGAGGGGTACAGTGGCCCCCACCCCAGGATCTCAGCTCAGCTCACGTTTGGGGTCTGGGAAGTACCTGGCTGGCCCCTCCTGAGGAAGGTTCTCTTAGGTACCCTCTGTACCTGGATGTTTCTGTGGTCCAGGGAAGACTGCTTACACCCTCCCTGTGGTAAGAACTTCAGGGCTTCAGTGTGGACCCAACACAGCAGCCTGTCACACACAGCAGACCCTCACTGTGATGTCTTTCTTTCTCCATTTCCTCCTCCACTGAGGCCAGAACTTTTGGAAAATGGAAGGAAATGAAAGAAACAAACTTCCAAGCAAATTGCACTGCTCTGATCTCCTGATCATTAACAGAGCATTAATTAATTGCTTACCCACAGAAAGGAAAATTAATTACCTTGAAAATTTTGAAAAGAAAAAGAAAAACATGAGTTTGAATTTTAATTAGGGGCCCTGCACAGTGGGAATAGGAATGAGCTGGGTTTTTTCAGATGTAATTGTTGGTGGTTAAGGTGAGGGTTCCTGGTGCCTGGGGAGTCTCCAGCTCCCACTGTCTCTCCAGACCTTCAGCCTGGATCTCACTGGGAGGAGAGGAGGAAGGTGGAGGGAGCAGACTACCCCTCCGGGACTCTGGCCCTCAGCCTTAGGGAGCTGCTAAGTGTAGGGATTCAGAAACCCAGGACAGCATCCCCTGCCCAAAGAAGATCTTCCTTACTTTGTTCCCTGCCATCTAAAATGTCACCACTGGGAGTGGTTAAAGCTTCGATGTACCCCAGCCTAGACCCTCTCCAGGAATGCAGAACAGTCTCCAGTTTGGGGGAGTCCAGCAGCCCTTCCGGGACTGTGCTGGGTCACACCTCCTTCCTAGGCCAGCCTGCACCCACTGACAGATCAACAGAGTATAAAGATTCACCCTTGAAAAATAAGAACCAAGAGAGACTATGTAAAGGTGCAAATTTCCAATGACGAATGTCATTATATTGTATACCTAAAATGTACCAATGATTAGAATGAATAATCGATAATGTAAAATAGGAAGAAAAGGTCCAAAGGGGTAGGGGTAGTGGGAGGGGCAGGGGAAGGGAAAGAAGGGAAAGGAAAAATGATGAGAAATGGAAAAAAAGGAAATAAAGTCTTTGTAAATAGGGAAGGGTGGAGGGCGTGAAGGGAGGGCTATGAATGGGGAAAAAATAAGAACCAAGATGCATTATGTAAAGGTACAATTCCCAATGAGAAATGTAATTGTGTTGTATACCTACAATGTACCAATAAAAGAATTCAATTTAAAAAAAAAAAAAGATTCACCCTGACTGGGGACAACTGAAGATCATTTCATCTCCCAAGCTCTCTGAGGTCAGCTGGGGTTGTGACGTAGACTGCAGTGCAGCTCAGCTTCTCCCTCTACCCACTTGTGACCAACTGATGTCCAGTGATTGTCACTAACAAATGTCCTGCAGCCTTATCTCCACCTCAGAGTTTGCTTCTTGAAGATCTCAGCTTGGGAGGCAGATTAAAATTGAACAGGGTGGAAATGCTGTGGAAACAATTTACATTGCATAGAATCATCAAGTTAAGGCCCCTTAGAAGGTGTCAAGGCCGGCCAGGGTCACTCCCAACACAGCAGCTCCAGTTTAGCCACCTGGGATTGAGCATTAGCAGGGAGGGGCTCACCCTCCCCCAGCACAGCCCCCTTGGTCCCTGCACAGCTCTGACTGTTGGAGATTCTTCAAATACTGTTCAGCCTCTGCCAGGGGCTCTGTGTGGGCACCAGGCCTATGCCAGACTCTGAAGGATGCAGGATGCTGCCGCTGCCTTCAGACTCTTGCTGCCTTCAGGACAGGCCAGGTTTAGAGTGAGGATGTGGGCAGGGTCCTGACTGCCTGCAGCTCCAGCAGTCCTCAGGACACACACTGATCCCACACTCAGAGATCTACTCTGCATTCTGGATGATGGAGTCAGCACATAATAGGCCAGCCACCACCTGCTTGGACAGCTTGCATCTGAAAGAAGATTGGTGACTGGTAGGCTCCCCTCCTGGAGCTTTTCTGAGGCCTTACCAGCTTGACCCCGGGTGCCACTTACAAGAGCCAAGGCAGCTGTGCTGGAGACCAATGAAGCTGAGATTGTGTTGCCCCCTGTATGGCAGGAAAGACAGTGAGTTTGCTAGGAATGAGCCAGTGCTCAGGGACTCAGGATTGATGTTCCTTGATCAAGCTGGCTCTGGGCTACCATTGAGGCTCTGGCTTCAGCCATAGCTAGGTGGCACTGTCCTGTTGTGCCAGTTTCCTGTCCCTCCCTGACCATCTGGGGCCATCAAGCACCCAACCCTATGATGACAGGGAAATTGAGGGGCCACACAAGGATTTTGCACCCCAGCCCTAGACCTTCATTGAGGTGGTGGTCATAGCCCCCTAGAGACACTTCCCACCTCTCCTGCAGGACTCAGAGGATTGTTTACCCTTTTAAAACATACTTGCTGAGTCCCTGCTACTTTCAGAACTTGGCCTTGTCTGAGAAACACATCTGGTAGCACCACTGTTTCTTGCCAGGTTCCTGGAGGTGAAACACAAACAAGGGAGACAGAGATAAAGGTCAACTCACACTCTGATGTGTGTCCTAGAGGACCAGCATGGGATGCAGAGAGTGGGGACAGGGGTTGGACAGGTCATCCTGTCTGCTCTGAGAGCCCAGGAGAAGCTCAAACCAAGTGGCCTCTGCACTGAGATCTGAAGGTAGATGTTAGAGCTTATATCTAGATGTCCCCCACCCCCCAGAGCCTCATGTGCTCATCGGTGGGGCTTTGAGGTGACAGCATCATGGGTGTGTGACACTGGATTAGTCCACCAGTGAGTTTATAGCTGGGTGTGATGTTGGGGGGTGAAGCCTGATGGGAAGAGGTGTGTCACTATGGGTGTGGCCTGGAAGGATACATCAATGGCTCACTGCTTCCTGCTTGCCATGCCATGACCTGTTTCCCTTTTGCTATGACCCTCTGCCATGCCGCCAGGCCTTGGAACCAGCCAACTTCGGACTGACACCTCTATAAACTATGATCCAAAATAAACATCTACTCCTTTAACTCATGGGTATCAGATATTTTGTACCAGCAAGGAGAAAGTAACTAAGACAGCAGACCAGAGGTCCACAGGCTCAAGAGATGCTTTGGGAAGGCCTCTAGTGAAGTTGGGGAACAGAAATGAGCCTCCCTTCAGCTCTGGCATAAAGATCCCACCTCCCTCCACACTAGGCCTGCAGTCTGGGGAGGCTGGTGAGGGACCCTCACTTTCTGTAGTGCTGACCCTGGGTGAGAAGTCAGGTCCTGGGGTCTAGTATTGGCTGTACCATAACCTGTGTGTCTTGGCTTTCTGATGGGCCATGGGGAGAATCAGTCAAAATCCCCAGCTTCTGCAGCCCCAAAAGCTGAAGTTTGCCCTCCTGACCTACAGGGGAGTACAGGAGTCCAGAGGAGCCACTGGCAGGAGAACAGAGCACAGGACCCCTCTCCTGCTCTGGTGGCTGCACTGGGCTCTATGATCCCCAGAGCCTTCACCAACCTCATTCCTATGTGAGACAAGAGAAGGGAGAATGGCGGTCATCGGCAACAGAACACGCCTTGCAGTAGGGTGGGCTTTGTCTCCTTCTGGGGTGGGGTGGTGGGCTGTGCTGGGAGTGAGAGGGTCTGGGTCCCTGGGCACCAGCTATGACACAGCCCTGTGAGCTCAGGTTGGTCATTTAATCTCCCTGAATCTCAGAGAAAAGGAAGGAAGCTAAGTTTCCATGTGAGACACTCCAGCAAAATTCTGCTGTGGAAGAAATGAGAAGGGTGAAGATCTCTACTGTATGAGGAGAGAGTGAAGTCAGACATGTGGAAGAACATCCCAGGCCAAGAGTGGCGAGGATGAATCAGGATGGAGGTGCCTGCCAACTCCATGGTGTCAGCTCAGCTTGGAGCAGGGTAAAGGAAGGAGGGGCAATGGCAGGTGGAGGCAGCAGTGGACAGGCTCACTGAGAACAACTTCGGTTGGCCATTACCACTTATGGAAAGAGCATGGGTGGGCTGCCAGCAGGAAACGGAGACTTTGAGGGGTCAGGAAGCTGTTGTTTGGGTGTGGTTTGTTCCCCAAAGATTTAAGTGTTGGAATTTGGTCCCCAGTGTGGTGATTTTAGGAGATGATGGAGCTTAGTTGAGAGTTGTTCAGTTATCAGAAGTGCTGCCCTTAGAAGAGATTAAAGTAGTTCTCAGGGGACTATGAGAGGGTTGTTACCGAAAAGCAAGCTTGGCTGCTCCCTGGTCTCTCTGGCTTTCTGTCTGGCCATGTGATCTGGCCACCCCTACCCCACCCGGCCATGATGCTATCCTCCATCTTATGATGTACACCCAGGAGGGCCTTCACCAGAGGCCAAAGGGACTTTCAGCCTCCAAAACCGAGCTAAATAAACCTCTTTTCTTTATAAAGTACCCAATCTCGGGTATATCACTGTAGTGACAGAAAACTAATACAGCTGGGAGATACCCAGGAAAGAAGAATGAGTGGGGAGGCTGAGGGAGTAGAGGAAAGGAGTGTTTCCTTCCAGGGGCTGGATGTAGATTTCTGCAGACTTGGCCCGGAGGTGAGGCAGTGGGCAGAGAGGAGGGCAGGATGTTGGCTTGTCCAGGCTACAGGACCTCCAAACAAACAAATAGGTGCAAATGAGATGCAAAGAAGCAGGCAAGATTTCCTTAGTCTTGGCTGGACTCTCCTGAGCCCCACATAGCAGAACACTGTCCTCTGGGTCCCAGCACCCAAGGACTTTTCCCCCCCTGACATACCTACCCCTACCCCCTGGTGGGTCCCCCATTGTCCTGGGGTTGTTGCCAGCAGCTTTTAGAAGTCCACGAGACTGCTGCTGAAGACAATCCAAGTATTATCCTCTAGGACTTAATTCCCTGGGCAGAAAGGGAGTGGGCAGGAAGAGCGACAGTTAAGGGGCTGCCATCTGACCACACTGGATGACCTGTGCCCTAGCCTGGAAAGGAACAAAATGACCTCCTGGGGAGCCTTCCAGCCCCAGGACTGCCATGAGTGAGCTGAATAAAGGACAGTAAATATTCAGCAAGTGCTCCACAGGCCTGGAGGGAAGAAGCCATAGCTGAGACCTGGGCCTCTGCCTCACTCTGGCCAGGGCTGTTCTGTTCTCCAATTAGGACCCAGGCAGAGCCAATGGCCACAGGGCACAGCCAAGGGGAAAATCAGTCTGCAGGGACGTGTGCCTTCTCCAAGACATCTTGACAGGGATGACGAGGAAATACTGACTGCCAAGCCAAGGCCTAGGCCTATTTAAAGGCTTAATGTTGTAAAAGGTCTGGGGTGGGATGGGGAAGGGAGGGATAAATAATTCAGAAACCAAAGAGAGAAGCGGCTGTTGCTGATGCCGGCCAGGGTTCATGCCTTGCTGGACTCAGAGCTGCACCCCAGCCTCCTGGGACAGAGCACAGGTGGTGATGGGGGGAGGCGGAGGCAGGGACAGCACACAGCCAGCCTTTACATGGCGTGACCTGCTCTGTCTCACAAGGCACTGCCACGAGCCTCCTCACTTACCTCACACCTGCTCCCCTGGGGCGTGAGGAGAGCCAGGAGGCCGCGCTCCTCTGCTGGACGCTCACCTGCCTGGTGCGTGAGGGCTGGAACCAGGACCTCGGGATGGCACGGCACAGACAGGAAGCCCTCACCTCTGCGTGGCGCTGTTCCCATCATACCAGTTTCTCCTCTTCTACCTTCCGGTCCCTCTGCTGATCCTGTGTGGCACATCAGGGATCACTGCGCCTCAAGTAACAAACAAACAAAATGACCAGAGTTTGAGCATGGCTTTGGCACAGCTAAGTGTGATCTTGAGCTCATTCTCTGGGCCTCCAAAGCTTTGTCCCCTCTTTCCGCGCCACCCCCTTACTGGGAATTGAACCCAAGGCCTCTGCACTGAGCTGTATCCGCAGCCTTTTTTCTTTCTTATTTTTGAGACAGCTCTCACTATGTCAGGAAATTGCCCAGGCTTGAATTTGTAATCCTTCTGCCTTGTCATCCCAGAGTGCTGGGACTACAGGCATGTGCCGCCATGCCCAGCTCCTCTCCCCTTCTTTAGGGTAAAGGTGTGAGCATCAGCATCTGAGCTCACTTCTAGTGCTGATATTCTCCAATTCTAAACCCCAGTTAGCATAAAAGAAAATCAAGGCTTGGCTTGTGAATGGTATGCATGGGAAAAAGCCCTCTTCCGTTTGCCCATGGGGACCTGCCCTCTGCCTCCCCCTTCTTGCTGAGCTCTGGCTCCTTCTCTCTTCTGGACCCCAAAACAGGAAGCTTATCAGTGTTTAATGAAACCAGGACCAACCTAATTATTAAATGCACTTGTGTTAATAAGTGCCTTTCAATTCATGCAGGGAGCTAATGAACTCAGAATAAAGGAGGAAGAAAGCCATTTATCTTGAAATGTCTGGGCTCCTACCTGGGCTGAGCCACATGAAGTCATTATGGGTAATTATGGGCTGTCACCCCAGCACAGCACATGGTCCCATTCAGGCACAGGTAGGGATGGGGGTGGGGCAGTGTCCCCACTGAGGCAGAGAGGTAATTAAAAAGGGCGACTTGCTGTTTTTAGTTCTCTTCCATTTCTTGTGAGTGCCCTTACCCTGTCCCTCCACATCACACCCTAAGATTTTTCTTCCCAAGTTCCTTTTTGGTTAGGAGACTCTAACTGAATATACTAGAAGCCTTAAAGAGATTTTCTAATTACTCTCCCAACTCACTCTGAGTTGATGGTTACTTCCACTTGTGGGAAGTAGAGAAGACAGTGGAAAGTCAGGTTAGACTCACTGAAGGATTGGATGGGGGGCTCCCCCCACCTCCCACCTCATTGTGAAAGGGAAAGAAGACTCTAGAATCACCCAGGGATCTTTGGCTTGAGCAGCCGGATGGATGGTGGCAGCATTTGTTAAGAAGTAGAAGAGGAGAAGGCTTTTTGAAAGAGGAGAAATAATCATGTCTGGCCTTGTTAAATCAAACATGCCTATTATAGACCCAAATGTTTAACACTTCAAATATGGACTATAGGGTTTAGCACTAGAGGCAGATCGAGAGTCATGGGACTAGATGGCACATAAATCCATGAACTGGCTGAAATGATTCAGGGAGAACGTATATGAGGGAAGTGATAGGCACTCAGGACTAAGCCCTGGCCCAGGTGCATCTAACTGTGCAAGTTGAACAAGGGAGGAGCCATTACAAATTGAAAACAACTGCTGCGACTGGAATGATCTGCATCTGCCCTGTGAAGACGCAGGGCTGGATGATGTTATAGCAACAGGAAGCAAAAACAGGAAAAGAGCATCCTTCTTCCCCCAGCCTTTCAGTCCCCCTCTGGCCAACCCTACTAGCAGAACCTAAAGGGATGCCAACTATCCAAGCAGAAATGTGGCTTTCAAATTCTCACCTCATCATTAGGAGGCCAATATAGAAGGATGGGTTCAAAGCTGAGAGCTGAGAGTTGAGTAACTGGCAAATACATTGAGTTATTTGTGTACTGCCTAAGGCCACTCTGAGTACTGGGCCTTTCTCCCATGCTTACCTCCTGGCCTCTGTGAGTAAGAAAAGGCTGAGTATAGGAAACGTTAGAGGAAGCTGCCATGTCAGGCAAGGCAGATCAGTCTGTTAACTCAGACTAAACCGGAGCTGCTACCAACTGGCCTTAAAAGAACGCAATAGAAAAAGTGCTTGGGTGATCTGAGCTGATGGAAGGATGGGAGGAGAGGTCAGAGGGAAGGATGTCCGAAGGAGAGGAAATATTTAGGCTTTCAGCTGGAAGTCAGAGTAGGGTTCAGTGACTTCATTCTACCCCCAAACCTCCTCCATTCCATCTCTGGTCAGAGAGAGGAAATAAATTAGTGGGAATAAATACCCTGGTCTTCCTTTTTGGGGAGTGGAGCATAGGCAAGCTGGAGCAGACCCTGAACTCCAGGCCTGTCCTTCCTTTCAAACTCCTTTCTTAATGGACTTCATCTGGCCCACAACAGGGTGGGACACACCAGATATCTGGGAAGGGTGTGGGGCCCCACAGGGTAGAGGAGCCTGGGCAATCTGTCAGGAGAACTCCGCACACCAAAAGTTCTCCTCTAATTTAGTGTCCTAAAAATTAAGACAGGAAGGGGTGGTAAGAAGCACTCCTGCTTCACTGGGCACACATTCACCCACTCCTGCCAGCTCATCCTTGAGACATTTCTCACGCTCACCACCTGCCAATCGGGACCACAGCACCGCGGACATGATTTATAGACATGTCAACTATCTCTCTATTGACAGGACATCTGAGCTCAGCCTTTGCAGATCTCCAGCCATCTGATGCTTCCTGTGGAGCCCCTAATGCTCGGAAATTTGAGTCCCACTCCCAATTCATATGGTCACTATCCCATCCTCCTTTATATGGCCTCCCAAGACTGGAAGCATTTTAAATACTTAGAATCCAGGTCTGGAAAAGATATCCTATTATACCCTGATCTGAAATCCCATGACCAGACAAACCTTGAGTCCTTCAGGGCAACCAGTACCACACTTGTCGGGATCCAGGAATCTTTGACCGCAGGTGAAGGTTCTGGCCATGCCCTTCATCATATATTCTCGCAACTTCTATGTAGGCTGTTGCCTGGTCCCTCTTCCGGGAACTTTCAGTCTGCATTCCACCTCTGATATGTTTAAAAAAAAAAGATGTAATAGAACCGAAGCTCACCACGCATTTGGACAAAAGCTCTGTTGACTATTTAAACCGAGATGCATTAATACCTCTGAATATTTCATGCCAGGCACATTAGAACAAGCAGCATTATTTATTGAAAGCTGATCACCCATCATGGGTATTAATATATTTTGCTGCCCAGTGTTAGCCAAAGGGAAATTAAATTCAAGGGACAAAGTGGGAGGTTTTTGGGCTTCCTAGTTTTTTTTCCCCTCAGGAAATAAACCTTGCCTAAATGGAAGATGAGCCTAAATGTGTTGTTATCCAGTCTCATTTTGGCTTCTAACAAAGCTTCTGGAAATCTCCTAGAAGAGCTGCCACCACCATCAGATTTGTGAGTAAGAGGGCCACTGTCATACTCCAGACACAAACAGGCCAGACTGAGATGCAGCTTTATTGGGAAGATGTGAGTTCCTCAGTGTCCAGCTCTGCTTTTCTACAGAGGGTGGCAAAGGAGTCAATGGGCTTAACTGGTGAGGGAAGGAAGGATTTGGTGTGAGAGGGAAATTCACAGCAAGGAGTAGCTCTAGGCTTCCTCGCCGGCCTGATGTGTTCATCACATGGTCTCTGGCACTGCTGTCTTTGGCCTGTGCACTCAATCCATTCATCAGTCAAGGTATGCACAGGAAACAAACCAGAGTAGTTATTCCAAGCTTCAAGATATTTAACACAGAGAATTAAATGCTTACAAAATTGTTGGAAGAGTTGGAGGAGTGGGCTTTAAGCTAACTCATGGAGCTCTGCAGGATCAATACATCAGAACACTCGGTCTAACCTTTTTATCCACGCTGATGTTAAAGAAATTAGGAAACTGTAAAGAAAATACATAGTAGGCCCTCAGTATCCATGAAAGTCTGGTCCCAGGACCCACCCAGATACCAGACTCCATGGATGCTCAAATCCCTTATACAAAACTGGTGTCATTTCTGCATAAAACTTACACATACCCTCACATATACTTTTTTTTTGGGGGGGGGGGACAGGTTCTTGCTATGTAGTTCAGAGTGACCTTGACCTCACTACGTAGCCCAGGCTGGCCTCAAACTCATGGCAATCCTCCTGCCTCAGCCTTCTGAGTGCTGGGATTACAGGCGTGCACCACCAGGCCGGGCAACTCCCATATACTTTAAATCATTGTTAGATTACTTTTACTGAATACAACATAAATATCATGGAATAGGTGCTATTCTGTGCTATTTAGTGAATAATGAGAAAAAATCTATACGTGTTCAGTACAGGCACAATTTTCCCTCTAGTATTTTTGATTTGCACTGGTGGAATCCACTGGTGCTGAACCCCAAAAATAGAAGGATGACTGTCTTCTGATAGGAACACAATGTTAAACATTTTAATGGAAAAAAAAACAACAACAAAGAAGGGCCGGGGATTTAGCTCATTGGTTCGCCGTCTGCTGCACAAGCACAAGGACCTGCGTTCCATCCCCGGTACTAAAAAAAAAAAAAAAATTTAATGGTATTTTAATTTTTTTTTTTGTCTTGAACACATGGTTCTTCAAGCCTGTGGTGGGCTGGTTCAAGTAGAAGTCATTTCCTAGGAGCCATTGCTTCCTGGACAATTTCCCTTGTACCTTTCATCCTGCCTGGTTACCCACTTCTCTGTGCTTCTCGTAGTATCCTTTCAGCCCTTCCACCTGGTCCAGCCTGGTGACATTTTCTGAACCACACCCTGGTCCTTCACTGATTTTATTCTTTCCTAGTACATGTCCAACACCATGCCTCCCCTACTAGAATGTGAAGCCTCTTTATTTATCCTTTTATTTTATAAAACAAATTGTGTTCAGCCATAAGGAAGAAAAGGCAATAAGAAATAAGGGCATCCTTAAGGTTGCATCAAAAGGAAGAAAGAACAAAATACAGAGACAAACAACAAAGTGGTTCATGACTCTTAATACATACGGACATGTTGGTTTTCAAAAGGTTTGCACCCATTTGGACTGCCACAGCCCTATGTGAGTGTGCCTGCTTTAGCTCAGTTTCACCAGAACTGACTGCTATCATTAACATTGATCTTGCCAAGCGTGGTGGTGCATGCCTGTAATCCCAGCACTCAGGAGGCTGAGGCAGGAGGATCACCATGAGTTCCAGGCCAGCCTAGGCTACATAGTAAGTTCAAGGCCAATCTGAACTACATAGTGAGACCCTGTGTCAAAAAAACCTAATCCAAAACAAAACAAAACAAAAACATTAATCCTAAGTATGGTTTTCACTAGGAGGCATAGAATGCTATTTCATTTTTAATTTTTTTTTCTCAAAGTTCGACATTTTCCCTAATCTCCTCCACGAATTTAATTTTTATTCTATTTTTTCCTGAGTTTCCCCTCTTATTCTTTGAGAGTTAGTTGTTTTAAAAGATAACTTTAGGTATTTATATAGCATATATTTCACTTTTTGAAACTTCCTAATTTTACAAGTATTCTTTCATATACATTTCCCCAAAACAGATTGTAAATTCCTTTCTTTATGTATTCATTTCTCTAATTCAATAGTCCCAGTTACTCAGTAGTCTGAGACAGTATGATTGCTTGAGCCCAGGAGTTCAAGACCAGCCTGGGCAACATAGTAAGACCCCATCTCAACAAAAAAAAGTCACAAATGAGCCCGAGAAAGACATAAGGAGGAAGTATGCTGACTCTCATTACTGCATGATGAGCTGTCAGGTGAGGAACAAGCTAAAGAGGAGCAGGCAGATTGCTGGTGTTGAGAAAGCATTCAAAGGTTGCTGTCTGCCACCACAGATCTGGGTCCTGGGCATGGCTGGGGAAGTCATGGGCTCTGGGTCCTGGGGCCAACACTGGCCAGGGGTTCTAAGGACTCCGCTTTCTGACTTCCTAGGAAGGGCACAAAGCACTTGCCACTGGGCACATCCTACCTGCCCTGGAGGTCCCATAGAGCTGTCCCCCTCCACACATGCTGACCCTACCAACTGATGTGCTGCCAGTGCCCAAGCTCCAGGGTCGGGCTTGGGAGAAACCTGTTTCTAGGAGTAGAGAACAGGAGTCTTTCCACCTTTAGGCTCCATGCCTTCCTCCAGTATCCTACCTCACAGAAAAGCAGCCCTCCCTGAGAGTTTTGTGGTTCTATCATTGTTTCAACAAATGTTTGTTGAGTGACTGTTTCACTCAGGCAGTATTCTGCATGCTAGGAGTACAGCAGTGCCCAAGGCAAGACAAGGTCACCGCTCTGCTGGAACATTCTAGTGTGCTTCACTCTTCCCTGTGTGAGCCTAACCCTCCCACCCTTCAATACCAAATCTCCTCTCCTGTCTGAGGTCTTCTTACTTCAGCCTTTAAATAAATATACAAACATAGTATATATGAGAAGCTTGGATAGAGTCTCCTATTTTCTCTTCCCATTAATCCTGTAAGATGAACGTCTTTCTTCTTATTTTACAGAGGAGGCAGGTAATTCCATTAAGAGACCACAGTTAGTACCTGGTAGACAAGGGACTCTGGTGTGGTCACCAGACTTCATCATGTCATAGCCACACACTCCCTTGGTAGGAATGCCTATGGGATCAATGGGGCTGGACACATAATTTGTAAGAACCATTGAAAATTCAGGGCCCTCGGTTCAAAAATCAGGAAAAAAGAATCATTAAAAGTACTCAAATAGGGCCGGGGATTTAGCTCAGTGGTTCCGCTGCCTGCTTTGCAAGTACAAGGTCCTGAGTTCGATCCCTAGTACCAAAACACAACAAAAAAAAAGTATTCAAATAAAGCCAGGCATGGTAGCATATGCCTGTAATTCCAGCACTCAGGAGGCTGAGACAGGAAGATTGCTGTGCATTTGAGGCCAGCCTGGGCTACACAGTGAGTTCAAGACCAGCCTGAAGTACACAGCAAGACTCTTGTCTCAAAAACCAAAAATCAAAACAAAACAAAAACAAAAACCCTCAAATATAAAGCCTTTTACTTTCTTCCTCAGCTTCTCTCTTGATTTGTTATAGTGTTTATTTGCTATTTGATGTCATCCTAAGTAAAATAACATTAGTTTTGAACTATTAAGATCAGTTTTACTGTTCATCTTTATATTGTTCAGTTTAAGTGCAAATACAAGAGCATTTAAGTCACATGCAGAATCACCAAAATGACATGATTGATGTTACATAGTTTTTTTTTATCCATCCATGTTTTGTTCTCACCAAACAGTGGAAATAGTTCACAAAAACTAACTCAGCTGTTCTCAGTTCCCTTTTTGATATGTGCACGTCCCATCCACACTGATGGCCAAAGAAGGACTGAAAAGAAAGGGAACTATGGGTTGCCCTGTCTGCCCCGCTCCTTCAGTGCCATCGTTTTCAGCGTAAGACATTGGTTTACACAGGCAGGTAACAAGAGTAAGGAAAGAAATGGTAGCGACCCCTGGTCACCCACGTCGCTTAGAACCCTAGCGCCTTGCTTCTGATTACAACAGAAAGCACGGCCTCTGTGGGCTACCTCTGCCTGCTACCCCTTACTCCATCCTAGATGTAACGCGTGGTGGGGTGCAGGCAGTGCTACCCCCCAATACGGTACCTCAGCATCTGAGAAAACAGCCTAAGCAGGAAGGTCTCTCTGACCTTCTCCCTCCCTTCTCCCATGAAGACCCTCGAGTGACAGATGAAGGGAAGAAATGTCAAGGAATGCCGAGAAGAATCTGGACAAGCCTGGCCAGTCCTCCCCATTTATTACCGTTAGCTCTCAGCTTCTGACCTCCAGTCCTGCTTCTGCACAACTATTCATAAACACACAGTTTTTGGCGGGAACAATGCTGCTTACCTATGATCCCAGCTACTCAAGAATGTGAAGGAGGGGCCGGGGATTTAGCTCAGTGGTTCCATCGCCTGCCTTGCAAGCACGAGGACCTGAGTTTGATCCCTGGTACCAAAAAAAAAAGAAGAGTGTGAAGGAGGAGAATTGCCAGTTTAAGCCTCTCCTAGGCAACTTAATGAGATCCTCTCTCAAAATAAGAAACTTTTAAAGAGGCTGGGGATGTAGCTCACTTGTACAGAATCCCTGGGTTTGGCCCCCAATACCACAAAAAAAAGTTTTCTCTGGGTCTCTGGGACTTTGTGTTTGTTTGTTTGTTAAAAAGGTCTCACTATGTAGCCCAGGCTGGCCTCAAACTCCCAGTGATCCTCCTGCCTCAGCCTCCTGAGTGCTAGAATTACAGGTATGTACCACCATACCCAGTGTGGTTGTTTATGAAAATACCCATATCACATAAAACTTTGGTAAATAAATTTGTGTGTTTTTTCTCTTGTTTCTGTCTTTTGTTGTAAGAGTCTTAGTCATGAATCTTGTAGGGGTGCATAGAAGATACTACTTTTTCTCCCCTACAACTGTGACCCACACTCTGAAGTTAGATGTAAACTTTCAGACGACTGTTAAATTGTGAACAAATTTTTGTCTAGTGGAGGTGCAAATTCTGTCTGGTGGAAAAGATGAATCCAAGGTGTAACAGTTTCATGCCCCACAGGACATTAACCAAGTTTCATAGCTAACTCAGCTATCTTTCTTTCTCTGCATAGATGTGCAGTATCACAAATTCCTCCTTCAAATGGCTTTACCATGCTGGCTGTTTCCTCATTAACAAGTTAAATAGTCAGTGTAGATGTACTTGAGCACCATCTTTTAACGTTTTGAAAATTGTCCTCCAACTTCTTCTCACCTGTAGCTTCTATTTCCTTCAAATCGCCATTGTAGACAACCACACCACCTAAATACAACCAGGGAGAGACCCAGGGCTGCTGGGGCATCACATAGTGGTGTGAGTCTCCCAGATTACTCCCGTCCTCCCTGGGACAGGACATCTCCC